TCATCATCTTTCTTGTCATCATCTTTCTTGTCATCATCTTTCTTTTCATCATCTTTCTTTTCATCATCTTTCTTGTCATCATCTTTCTTGTCATCATCTTCCTTTTCATCATCATCGTTATGCTTTTTACCGTTATCTCTATTTTCCTCGCCGTCCTTACTTTTCTCCCCCTTATCTTCTTCCCTGTTGTGATCTCCGGCATCTTCTTTCTGGTTCCCCTCTTTACCTTGCTCTTTTCCCGCTTTCTTATCTTCCTCCTTGCCGTGTTGATCACCGCCCTCATCCTTACCTAAATCATCTTGTCCCTTGAGATCATAGCTATCAGGTTCATTTTCTCCCTGCTCATCGTAACTTTCCCCTAGGTCACTACACGTGTTTCCATTTTTACAGCTCTTCGTGCTTTCTACATTTACATTATCTTTATGGAAAATAAGAAGTCTGTTTTCCTGGTAGGACTTCAAGTCATTATTAATATTATGATATACGTCATAAATGTCCTGAATATTATCATAAAGGTTGATATTCCCCTTTCTATTCATTCGACTTGTTCTCTTTTCCCTTTTTAGAAAGGGGTCCTTAAACTCTGCCTTCATTGTGTTGTTATTTGAGGTCATTTTCTCACTCATTTTTTTCTCCTTATCATGGTATTTCGTTGCTGATCTACTGAACCTTGATTTTACATTACTCTCCCGGAGGTATTGATTACGACGGGAACACACGACTGGATCATCACCATGGTTGATTCTTTCAATGTGCTGAGTTTGTATTAATATTCGATTACCACTGCGGGGAGGGTTCTTCCGCAGGCCATTACCCCAATCGCACGATTCATCGGAGGTACACTAAGAGAAAAAAAAAAGGAACCATATTGATCAAGTGTAAAAATACATAAATATATACGCACAGGTTCAATATTCACTAGCTTATAGCATAACGCCCCATTTTACAGACACAAAACCTGTCCAATAAGTGTAGAAACGGGAAAAACACCCAAACAGACGCCGAAAAAGGAAAATGCTACTCTTGTCTTACACTATTACTAGGGTACTGCAGATTCCATATTAAAAATGGAACAATCAAAATTTTAAGAAACAAAAACCATTTATTTAGTGCGCCTTTACACTTACATGTTCTGAACGTTTCAATATCAGCAATTACAGAATCTTTTGATGATTTTTCCTTTTTCTCATGTTTCGACAGTATATGTAACACTTTATATTTCTTCCGAAACATTTTAAGCTTCCATAACGGAAAAATTACCTAGAAATATTGTTGTTTTAATTATTTTTATTCTTTTCCCCTCTTCCTTCATAGTGAATTCGTAAAAGTTCAGATCAATACCTCTATAATTTCTTTCTAAATAATATTATTTTAAAAAAAATTATAAAAATACACCTTGTATATTTTTGAACAGCTAAATCGAAATAATTTCATGAAACATGTTGACAAGCAAAAATTACCTACGCAATAATAATAAAGAATTTATCATTATTGATATAAGTTGGGTATATTCCTTAGAAAAATATCTGAATGGTAAATCCCAATAAGTGTTCGGTTAATTTCTTGTACATTCAAAAAAAAGAAATTCGTGCGTCCAGTCGCTGAATGGGTAAATCCGTTAATGCGTTAAATTCGTTAACTCCTTCGTGAATTCTAGAGGGGTTGAATGCATGAAGGAAATAGCCACTTAAAAAAAAACTGCTTCTTGGGGGATAATCTAAAGTACTCTGAATACTTTTACGTAAGGATAACCAGGGTAGAGCTGTTCTTTCAGGCGTAATTTATATTTCCAAAAATACAATTCTATTATAAACGATGCATTCAGCTGTTTACATAACAGAGAGAGTACTACTACTTATGTATGCATGCACCAGAGCCTCCACAAAAAATAACTACATTGCTGTGATATGGTATTTATTTATTTTTCTTTTTTTACTATACGATTTATCTTTATGGAAGCACTAACTTTCTTTTTTTAAGTCCTGCGCAGAAAATATTTTTTCGTCAACTTTTGCGTTAGTTCAGCTAGCCAAAAAATAATGCCTGCAATAAAAAAAAAAAAAAGGTTAATCCCCCTTTTAATTCTTAAAATTAAAAGGAGTATTTTACGAAGGCGTTCAAGACCAAAAAAAATAACAAAATAAGGACATTCTCTTCTCTCCCTCCTTTCCAAAAATTAAGTGAATGTATATGTCAAAATAGGTTAGAAAGCGCTTGTACAATAGAAATAAACACGTGCTTATACAGACAAACAATTAGCCTTACATCACTTATAAGACAAAGGGCGATAATGTAGTAAAATAAAAGAGAAAAAGCATAATTAGTACTACATAAAAGAAAAGTTAGAGGAGCAACTTAATTTTATCGTTATAATTTTTCCCTTTCAATTTTCACTTTGATTTTCATAAGTTGCAACGCATTTCTTCTCTTATGCAATGAAAAAGTGCCATATATTTTTATGGGCTTCTATTATTAGTTAATATAAAAGACGATTTTTTTATCAGAAACAATCGCTGTGGATTTTGAAAGAATCCGCCAAAAATAACCAAGTTAAATCTCTGGCAATGCTCAATCCAGAAAAAAATTTTAATAATGTCTACCATATATATGCGTTTCACGTTATTCAGTATTACAAGTCTTTATAGATACAAAAGCGTGGCGATCGCACTAAAATAATATAGAGGTTAACATATATACAGTGTGAAATCTATGTATATCGGGCACTACATAAATGCATATAGTGATTAAGTGTGCTTAATTAATATATATGGGTTTGGGCAACTACTTATTGACTAGCTAAACGAAATTTTTAACATGACCCCTGTACTATATTTATAATATCATTTGAACGAATTTGTTCTCATGTCGGGGCTGGCATTTCTACCATCAATTTTTTGATGAATTAATTTTTTTGTCAAGCCGATTTTTTCCTGGTGCATTTTTTTTTTTTTCATGGGGTAGCTCCCTTGTAAAACCATTTTTATGTTGAACAATTTTTTTACCCCCCAAAAAAGGCTGCTCGTAGTATATATATCTGTATATAGTTATCTACATATATAAATACATATATAGACATAAATACTTTCACCACATAAAAAGGTGAATTACACATGCAACGATCAAGATATAGGTTAAAGAAACCAAGTTTTATCGGCGCAATTATAATAACTTCTTTTTATCAGAAAAAGTAGCTACGTATATATATTATATAGTAGCGTGCTGTATATGCTTTACTTTAAATAAAGTTATTGTGTTATTTCCCTATTTCGTATTTCAATTTTTAACTTAAAACATGGCGCTGCGGGAGGCACCAGCAAGCACAAATGCATCTGACTATTCCAGACACAATGCAAAAAAAAGAGCCTTCTCCAGTTATAACCTACGGACCAGACCATCTCTTGGTGCAACGTTATTCGCCCTTTTCTATATCCTACTACTGGTAAGTATAAGAGAAATGGCCCCGAGTGATAGATAACGTGTATATAGGATTATTCGCATAAACTCATAGTGCCTGGCCAATCTTCTTACCGGATCGAACGTCATTTTCTTAGCATGCATGTGCCATAATCGAGCATAATAATGCGTGTTAAATTACACAAGAAAACTGTAGCATGTGATACCCCTCCCCTTTATACTCTTATGTAGAATATCTGCACATATGAGAGTAGTAATAATGGTCTCCCCCAGCTGCGCCTACATCATGGACCACCAAGGTCCCTGGGTGAAAGAATGGTGCTCACCATGAGAGGTACTATAGTAAAACAGAATTCATCGAATGAAGGGACCAAAAAAAGAAACAAAATACCATTAACCGATGAAACAGTAGAAGAGTATTTGGAGAGATCATGCGGTCATGTGCAACTTACCCAGGAAATGGAAAATAGACTAAAATCGTGTCACCCCGATATAACAACACAAGACATGTGCAAAATCTATTCAACTCTATACAATGAACATGTATCAAATTTTCGTCATCTTCTTGAATGCTTGAAGATGGCAACGGCTATGTTAGCAACTAAATATAAACAAGAACAAAATTTTCAAAAAAAATGTTGGTTTAATCAATATAAAAAACTTGGAAGAGATCTTATAAGACTATCAGATAATGATGATGATGGACGCTTAAAACTATATTTACAAAAAAAAGAGACGTGCAAAACAAGTGATTTCATCAAAATTTTAAATGATAGTATAGAAACGTGGAATGCCTTTATTAAGGAAAAAAAAAAAGTAGCCTACGACGAATTGGATGAAGCTTTAAAAAATGTTACACTGAGGAAAGAAAGAGGCAAAAATTGAAATTTGTGAGAGAACGGAATTTATCTAAAATGACGCCTCTCTTCAGCGGAAATGTAATAAGTTATCATAAAAGCGTCTCCTACTCTGGCACCTTCCCTCCCTACGCTTTATCGGTTGATGCATATTCAAAACGTTGCGAAATGACCACCTTTAGAACATTAAACCAAGGCACAAATGAATAGCACATAATTTTTATGTTTGTACATAATAGTTGAACATATAAATTCTCTTGATTAACTATTCGCATATAATGTGAATAAAGTAAACAGCTTTTTTGTTTTGTTAGTTCTCTATTCCGTGGCTCATGTAATATTTACACAGCTTCCCATCGATGGATGCCCAACAGGAGTGACTAGACGACTGAACTTAAGTGTTATACTATACATTATGTATTATATTTTTTGTTGCATGAGCATCATCTAATGATGTAATGATGGAATAATATGTTTGTAGACAAATTTTAGCCATATCATTTGACCTCAAAATGAAACACACCTTTGAGAACCCCATTCCTTTACACTTTCCAATGAATGGAGTACATATTTGTGGCCTATACATATTTGCCAAAATGCGTCTGTCTGTATGAAGAATGCATCAAGGTGAGGGGAAGTACGTGTGGTACATTACAATAGTACAACACAGATTTCTTTCCTAACTACTTATATGTTTCACTTAGTACCATTTGATATATTAATTGTTTATCATTGTTATGGTGCCCATTGAGTGCAAACCTTTTGCATTTCAATGTGGACTGTTTTTCAAAGAGGTAACAACAAAAGAGAGAGCGAATCATCTCAACAAACCAAAGTAACTTAACACACCCCATGATGATAATTACCCTTCCTTGTTGCTTCGTATTACGTTCTCGTAAATGAAACCTCCTTTCCCCTCCTTAATAAAAAAAAAAAACAAAGTAGTTACATTACGCTCTAAGGTCTCCTTTGAAAGTGGAACATCCACTTCTTGTTAGCCCCTAAAAGTGTATACCACAAAACATTTATTTCTACTTCGCTTTCTCAGTCGTTGCATTAGTATACACTACTGTATTATCCAGATGTTTCTGAAATTAAATATTTCTGGACACTTCATGTAGAATCTGCAGATCCTACATGCAGCATATGCGCCAACACAAAAAACCCTATTAAGTGTATATAATTACGAACTTATAACGTACATTGACAAAAAGATTACTTTACCTTGGATTTTTTTCTAACCCCTGTCTACTGAAGAAGCACTTACGAACAAAACACAACTTCTTTATAACTGCCTAAAAACTGAGCACAAATTAATTGTGTGCTTACTCAATATGCAATAATATATGTACATATGCATAGAACACATTTGTGTATCTCTCAAACAAGCATAAATACAAGGACACGCCATTGGAACATCTCACTTTTCCTATTGATAACAAAAAAATGTAACTCTTCTCCGCATGGGTTCTATAATGCAAAGTATCCCCTCCTCCTATTATGTCAACTAGCCAACCCATATATAATCAAACTAACACTTCTTCTAAGCCAGAATATCAAAAGTCTCCTTTCCTTTTACCCTCTCATAAAATAAGTACCTGACCAAATTGAACAACCCTTTTTGTTTCATTCCATTTCGTAAGTTCTTACAACAGACCGTACTTAATTATTTTTAAGGTATAATATATTTAGCTTCTTCACTAACTTACATATATGTACATATATATATCATATATTCATGTATCACGAATCTCGACATGACAAAAAATGTTGGCGCGTAGAAATACCTGCCTTTGAGACCGCAAAAAAATAACTCAGGTTATTTTCAAAATATTGATTCATTAAAATTGTACGCACACTAACACGGACAGCCGTTCGGCTACTCCATATTATTATGATTTTTTTTTTTTTTTTGATTGTTAAAAATTTCTTATATCAATGAGAATAAGCCATAACAGATGGTAAAACAAAGTTTACTTTAATGTTTACAGCACCCCGAGATGATATTAGTCGTCTACAAAAACACACAAAATCTTTCGTGTTGTTAAAATGCAATTTTAACTTTCTTTTTGCGCAGATTTCGAAGAAAAGACACAAAAGTAGTACTATGTTAATGGGATTAATAGTGCACTTGTTGGTTGTTACACAGGCTGCACATATAATTTCTCTTTCACATTGACGGTAAAAAATTTGTTACAAAAAATATCACAATAATATTGTTTAATGAACGTGGGTTCTTGTTCGGTCTTAAGAGGCGTTCGGCCATTATCCAACATACTTAACTTCGCAACGCCGATTTGTCCACCAATTGCTCCACGAACTAATCGTCTCGTACGAAGCTGCATCGCTGTCACAGTATTACATGTATAATGAAATGATAGCAAATTCATCAGTAGGGTAAAATTAACTTGCCTCAGGACGGTCTGAACCTAGCTCATGTTCCCTGTTAGCAGGTGAACAATCCGATACAGTTAGACTTCTGCGTCCGAATGATGGAAAGAGTGAACATCGAAGGATTGGAAAACAACGTCGTTCGGAGCCCCCAACAGCCACAAGCCAGTCAATACATGTGGTAACTTTTCAGACATCTCTCTACATGTGCACACGTAAAGTAAAATATTCCTTCTTTCGGAAAATGTAAGGCATCGCATAATGACCTTTTCGCTTTCAAAGTTTTATGAAGGAATATTATTATTCTTCAAGGAATAATTCGTGTAGTTTACATTCAGCTTTCACATGATTCACAATCACGGCAATTTTCATTGCGAATTGCACTTCGTTTCGCCCTTCATGGCTCTAGAAACCAAGAGACAGATCCATCTTTAAGATTGACCCATTCTTTTAAAAAAACTGGAAGGGATGCGAGCTCATATTGCGATAAATATACGTTAAGTACATAATTTTGCAACCGCTTACATCTCTCAATAAAATAGCACTTCAACATTCTGTGTATTAGATGCCTCCCACCCCCTACAATTTCACATGTTATGAAAAAAATTGATTTAATTAATTTTCTGTAATGTAAAACAGAAACAGAGTGGCACTTTTTTCACATAGAAAGGGGATAGTAACTTCCATAACATCCTATTTCCAAATATATTCAGAAGTTGGAAGGTACACCCTTCTTAGTATTTCTAAACACCCATAACGTTTGTTTTCCATGAAACCAATAGTAGTGTACTGCAAATATTCACTTCAAATGTTCTAAAAATACACGTCTAGCCAATTTTACTATCTTACAAGCACCAATATTTTTCGTTGCGTCAGAAACACCATCCGTAGGTGAACCTAGGGAAACCTTATAAGGAGTTCTCCCTCCTTTAATAGATAAGATTTTCGACTTTTTTCAGAGCAAAAAGGATAAATAATCCCCTTTCTTCGTGTTCAAACAATTCGTCATATCTTCTAATCGGTAGGAGCGACGGGCGGTGTGTACAAAGGGCAGGGACGTAGTCAGCGCAATTTAATGAATCGCGCTTACTAGACGTTCCTCGTTCAGGATTAATAATTGAAATAATCTATCCTCATCATGATATGTAATAATAAAGGTTAACTACACTTTGCAGTGGAGGAAAAGCATGCAACTGCAAGTAGAAGCATATTTCTATTTAACCACCTTGTATATATGAGTGTAGCACGCGTGCAGGCTATTTTATCTCAGGGCATCCCAGAACCTGTTTCGTTGCCTTAAACTTCCTTGTGTTATACACATACCATTACTCTCAGAAGCTTTATGCCCAAAGCAAATGCATTCTTGCACAAAAAAAGAAACTGTAGGATAAGCGAATTAAAAAGCTCAAGGAAGAAAGAACGAGAAATATGTGTCGCATCAGTGAATCGACAGAAGAATACTAACGCGTCACATAGTCACGATCCTCATATGTGCACTTCGAAATAAACAAATCAATTAGGTTCAATCCTGCATAAGAATATGTCGTATTTGGCGAAAATTAGCAGGTTACGATCTCGTTCGCTATCGAAATTAACCAGACAAATCATATTCACGAACTAAAAACGGCCATGCATCACCATCCAAGAAATCAAGAAAGAGCTATTAATCTGTCAATCCTACTCTTGTCTTAAACTAGTGAGTTTTCCCGTGTTGGGTCAAATTAAGCCGCAAGCTCCACGCCTGGTGGTGCCCTTCCGTCAATTCTTTTAACTTTCTCGCTTGCGCGAATACTCGCCCCAGAACCCAAAGACTTTGATTTTTCATAAGACACTGACGGAAGCAAATCTAAGAGTTTTAACTTCTCAGAGAAAAAACTCTAATTTTAAAATCTTTCATCCAAAGCCTAGTCGGCATAGTTTATGGTTAAGATTACGACGATATCTGATCATCTTCACTCCCTTAACTTTCTTTCTTGATTAATGGAAGTATTTTAGGCAAATACTTTCGCAGTTGTTTGTCTCCAGAAAATCTTAGAATTTCACCTTTGGCATCTGAGTACGAATTCCCCCAAGTTAGGCCTATTAATCGTAACTAAGCCAAAATAGGAAAAAAAATAACAAAAATTCTGGTTTCTTCAATTTTTTTATTCCATGCTTTAGTATTCAGACGCATAAAGATGCTATAATCTGTTTGCTTTGAACACTCTAATTTACTCAAAGTAACAAGATCTCCTAAAATGCCGAAGCAAAAAAGAAAGATCTTAAAAAGAATCCTTTTAATTAAAAGAGCAAGTAATTAACAAAATGCGCACAAAGTCGATACCAAGTATGAGTTATGTGGATTAAGCTAAAAAGCGTTACTTAAGATATCGATTCTTTGAAATTCAACTACAAGCCTTTTAACTGCAACAATTTTAATATACGCTATTGGAGATGGAATTACCTCGACTGCTGGCACCAGAGTTGCCCTCCAATTGAGTTTTGGGAAGGTTTTAAATTCCCATCATTCTAACTACAAAGCAGATTGGCCTTGTATTGTTATTTCTTGTCACTACCTCTCTTCTTTAGAATTGGGTAATTTACGCGCCTGCTGCCTTCCTTAGATGTGGTAACTATTTCCCAGCCTCCCTCTCCGGTTTCGAACTCTAATTTCACGTTACCCGTTATAGCCATGTTAGGCCAATACCCTAACATCAACAGCTGATAGGTCAGAAACTCGATTGATACACACTAAAAAATGGACGAATCTGTTTATGTCTCACGCTTCGTTGTTATCATTCATAAAGCTATTAAAACTTTCTTCTTAAAAGACTTGACAAATACGCACCCAAGCAGTTAATCAAGAGTACTATAGCAAATATTAGCTACAGCTTCTCCGTAGTTATCCCTATAAAGAAAAAGCCAAGTAGATTTATAACAGTTTTAATGAAATGTTAGCACTTTCTGCATATAAAAATATGCATATATCCTTTCATTAGCACAACTTAATCTTTGAGACAAGCATATATGACTACCATCAAGATGAACCAGGGGTATGTAAAATATGTATATAACGACTTCCCCGACAAGTCACCCATTTTGTAAAGTTTAACAATTACCCAGGCAAGATATGAGTACAAAACAGCTAGATGCATAACAGTTTTATAGTTCAATCTGTTGTTAGTGGTTATGTGTGCAAAATAGATTGATTTATGGTTATAATCACATATTATGTGGACTTGTACACAGCCAGTACTTTTGTAAAAGGTACTAAACGGGGATGTTGTACATACATCATATGGTACACTATAAATTTGGTATACGATTTATAGATCTAATTCTAAGATTGGCCAATTATAATTTTATACAAATTTGTAAGTGTACCCGATGCTATTATACACAGTGGCAATGAGGTCACCTAATCGTATAAGAATTCATACCATTATTCCCATCAATTGATTCACTACGCAATGACATAATCGTGGTATCTTCATCGAAATGGGTAACATCCTTTATGTTATTCAGCAGTGTTTAAATTAATAGATTATCACCTGAGGCTTATCTCCAATATACAGTGTGTAGTTTCCTATTCACACCTATAAATCGATTGAAAACATAGGAGCATATTCCTACTCAAATAATTCCTTTCTATCCTTATAATATATGGGTCTTAAATGAATGGTTTACTTAACTTCTTTAGGAAGGATACACACCATTAGTCCCATGAACATTATAGTGTTATAAAGAAGAGGATCAACTTGACTACATATGCATATTCAGATTACTTTTCAAAGGATACACGTCTGTACCAGTCAAAGCCGATCATAAGGAAATGGGGCATCCTCAAACTTCTCCTGTGAGTTGCATTCTACAAGCTAAAAAAAAAAAAATGACTTAAACTTGGGCTTATACACCGCCCACCGCTGGACATAATACTAATTAGTATGATATATATTCGATCTTCTCGCATAATATATACTTCGGAATAATTATGTGTGTATACTCGCAATCTGCGAATTATAGCATGATATATATTAACGCTAATGGAGGGTGTGCTATAGTAAAAGTGGTAAAATGCTCCTTATGTATATGATTATTTATTGTATATCACGAACAACGCGAACTTGACCATGGGATAATATATCATATCGTATTGTATCATATCTTGCTTAATATTGTGGAGGGCCACTCTGCTATGATTGCACGCAATATTCGGGCCCTCGTGTGGCATCCTTGATTTTATCCCCTTAGGTGGTTTAATCATGCGTTATCACGCTATAAATCTGTGTATATTATTGAATAATCTGAGTTATATGCGTATAGCATATGTATTTGCTTGATAATAATTACATGCGTATCGCATACTCCTTACTCGATTGTAATATGCCTTGTGTAGCTATACTTACCTCGATGTCACTGCAGTATCTGCATTTGAAATTCCTGATTCAGCTCGATTTCCTACAATTCTTGAAGGGAAACGGAAGATTAAAATGCACACGTCAGTATCGGGAAAATAAAAATAAAATTAAAAGCATAGACTCATTTAACTACAACAGGATAACTCTCGTGAGTGCGTTTCCCGGATAGATTGCCTAAAATTTATACAACTACAAAACATTTCATTACCATTAAATGATGTTTATGCAAACTGTGAAAGTGGATCGATTATGTTGTCTTTTGTTTTATCATCAAATTTCAGTCATTCAATGTTGGTAAATATCAGACCAGAACTGGTCGATTTGACTCTCTATGCAATGGTTTTCTCTTTAAGCACATGAATAACAGTTGTAAAATAAAATGGGCGCATCATCAAATTTTAAGCTTTAATAAAATTATCCTAATGGCAGGAGAATATATTAGAAAAATTTATTTCAAACTGAAATAAAATAAAAATTACTCTCACTATTTCAGCATTTTTAATTTTTTTATTTAAAGGATGTGCGATTTCGTTTAGGACTCAAGATTTTATTGTTTTAAATAAAGTAGAAAGCGGTAAAATCGTACGGTACTTTAAAGTGTTTTACTTCCAAATGGGGGATCACACTCAATTTGTCTTTTCAGAATTGTTCAATTCGTTGGGTATTCCATATTTTATCATATTAAAGAAATCGCAAAATCGCGCAGTACTTTAAAGTGTTTTACATCCAAATAAGATCTGCACACAAAATTTGTTTTTTAAGCAATTTCCATTTTCTTTTTTTGAAAGCTTTCCAAAATTTTGTCTTTTTTAAAAAATTGAAATGGCCGTAAAATTAGTCATATTTTGAAATGTTTTCAGCCAATCGGGTATTTGTACTCAATTTTACAGTACTAATTTTTTGTACTTATTATTTTTCCTTTTCATTTTAAACGCTCCCTCCCCATCCCAGACTATATTAAAATTCTCTTATGTGAGTCATTTATATCAGAATGCATTTTAGCGTGTTTAGTCAATTCACTATTGGGGACAAGTTCCGTCGATTCAATCGACATTTTGGGTTTGGTCAGTTGCATATATAATGGAACATTTTTGCCAAGGCCCCCTACCTCTATATATATAACTGACCATACCCCCAATTGCCCATCCTCATAAGTATATAAATCTACATTCACTAGTGATATATATGTAGATTAAAATGGAAAATAACTTCCCAGTTGTATGGTATCAATACATATTATTGTGAAGACCCTTAAGTAAAGGAGTGTCTCTTAAAAATGGAGCTCATGTGTCAAAAATGTAACAGCATATCTGTTGGGAAAAAAAAAAAAGATGTTTATTAACGGAAAATCATCGATGGTTTAAAAAATAAGCAGTAAACTGCAGCAGGGTGCAAAGGAAATGTTCCTCCATAAAAATAATGCTGCCATGAAAAAGAACAGTTAAAAAAGATTTGCTGCTCCAAGAATTATTCTTGGCAAAAATAGAAGCAACTGATCCAACATGGCAAATACCAACCTGTGCAAATTCGCCTTTTAAAATCATAATATAACCCTATAGATAGAAAAACAACGTACTAAGTGCGTAGGACTGGCATCGAATGGGCTCATACAAACCATAAAATGGGCATTTTACCCCCTGTAACATATTTTACAGGGAGCGACTGCGCTTCGTAGAAAATGCAGTAATAGAACAAAACGTGTGCTCCAGAAAATACTCCAAAATTTGAACCGTCATATATGGCCCAGTTCTTCATGTATTATAACCACGTAAAATGTTCATAAGAGAGTTAATAACGAAAAGTACATATCTCGTTTACATAAATATGAAAGAAAAATTTTTGTGTACGTAGGCAAACACTACTACGTCATCAGTTTGTGTGCAGTAGCTGACAGACATATGCAGTATATTATTTGTTCCTATTTCAAAATTAGTGCGTAAAAGGACTCATGAGCCTTATACTGTGTGATACAGACACAACGAAAAATCTCATCCTTTTATTTCTTCCCTTTGCCCTGTACATACGCATCAATTTCGTAATATGTCCTTGAATTCTTATGCAAAATGTAGATAGTTATCACCACTTGGAGCTACATTCACTTAATATTTGTATAAACGCATTGTGGTACACGGCCACCTCTTTGCTGAATATTTTCACACCAGGTAAAGAAAAAAAAGTGGTAAAATGTGTTAACTATTTATTTCCTTTTTTTCTCTTTCAAATGTTATGCGTAAACGGAGAAAATCATAAACATACCACCCACCTCGCTGAATTAAAAGGAGGGGGAAAAAATATTCATTTGGGTGTTACGAGAAAATGGTGACTAATGTTTCATTATATTCAGCAGAGTGAACGCACGTGACGTTTTCCACAAACAGGCAGAACAATGCTTTAACCATCATGGCAATTTAATCACAAAGGCCAAGTATGAAAAGGGCAGTTTTTACGGCAAACAACAAATGCGGTTCTCACGCGTGTGTGTATATTTATAGTTACATCTTGATTTTGTTACTCTGCTCTGTGCTCGAATGAGAATACATGAATGCATAAGGATAAAGGACCAAATAGATTCATAACGAATAAGAGGGGAAATGAAAAGCCGATAATAGATGAAATAGTATAGCAAAGTAAAAACGAACGGGGGGAAATACTTTCCTCTTAACGACATTTTTATGGACACTTTGGTGGCATTTTTTCTCTCTCGGTTCTCAATTTATGCCGACCTATCTGCAGATTCCTTTCTAAAATTAAAGCACACGGCATAGGAAATTAAAAAATGAGTGCCGACATTTCTATAAAAAAGAAATTGTGCCCTTCATTTTTTTTTTTTTTGAATCCTACACAGCCTAATGCAACGAAAAAAGAAAACAACAAACGTCCCCAATTCGAAAGCGCGTAATACGTCCTGAATTGGGAAACTCCGTTTTTCTTATGCGGCGTCTCCCACTTCACGCTATTGGCAGCCCCTACCAGTATTATCATCATTTTGAAGCGTGCAAACGCTTTGTACCCACCTGACAGTGTGGCTAAAATGCTGAGAAGCAAAGAGGGGTAAACCCTCATTTTGTAATTTAGGCCGGGTACAGAATCTTTTCCCTCCCAAAATTATATGTAAATGTGTACATTATGCAATTTTACGAAGGTCGAAGACTATGTCTTATTACACGGAAGAAGAAAAAAAAAAATATATCTATATATATATCCATTCTTGCATACGCGAAAGTGTAACATATGACTTGCATCAGTAGGGTTAGGTACCTACACAAATGGGACCTCTATATGATCAATCATACACAAAAGTAAAGGCTATTTTGTCCATCCCTTCATGTATCATTTTTCAGCGCCTTTTTTTCTTCCCCCTGAGAAGTGCTTAAGGGACTATAATATATGCACGAAATTGTTCCCGAAGAGTTACGCAGCAAATGTGCACATTTTTTGCCTACGCGGAGCTGCCATAAACCGGTAAAACAGGGGCCATAAGAAAATCTTCCATTTCAGAAAAACACTCTCCCGACATATGTTTCCCACTCTGCATAGTAATAACGCGTAAAGACATGTTACATGTGAATCATTAACGTAAATTTTTTGGTGCCAAAAGAGGTTGCATATACCCTTCCACACGTAACTGCCCCTGGATGGACGGGGATCAAGTCTTTTCCCCAATTTAGAACTGCTCCACTGGAACATGAACTGATAACACAATGATGTAGCCAAAATGGAGAACGAAAAATCCACCAAACCCAATGAAGACTACAAAGTTGAAACGAATAAACCATGATATGAAAGACAGAATGAGTAAATGTGCCAAATTACAATCGTCGTGAGAATTCAAAAAATATACATTTGCCTCTCCTTTTCTTCCTCTTTTAAGAACCTCGTGGACTGCTACTACTTGTTGCTAAAAAAGTTCAAGAAGAAGAGCTCTTACGTGATAGACGAATTCCTGATAAAGGTACCATCGAGGCATCAAAAACTATTAGTCCCGTGAGAAATACAGAAAGCGTCCACTTCCTCCGAATTTGGCACATGAATTATTTTTTTTTTTTTTCCAAAGGAAGAGAATCTACCATACCATCAATATAAACAATTTTTCACTTCATGCATTTTGCAATTAACTTTTTTAAAAGGAGAATAAAGAAAGTAATGGGACCTTAACCATTTACGAGGATGTTGACTCGGATGCTTTTTCCTTCTTAATTTTGTCAATGATTGATTCCAGTTACGACGTAAAAATTGTGCTTAGCTTGTGCACGATGAGAAATTTCCCCATAGCGCATGCACAGAAACAGCAGGCATCTATAGGAACACTTGTATGGCCCCCTCATCGGGTTCGTGTTCACTTCACCCCTTTGCTACACCAACAGCGCATTAACCGAATCAACGTCCTGAATGTCCAAAACGGAAATGACATAATAAAGGCAATTTGTTTTTACATGGACAACATAAAAATCAGCGAACTTTTAAAAAAAAACACCAAAAATGTGAGGAAGAAGAGCATAAACGTAGATAAAAAGAGTAAACTTAATTTAAAAAAAAAAGGTGTTGGAAGAGAAAAAGAGCGGGAAGAAGAACCACCCAACGAAATGGTTAACAAAAATATGTGTAATGTTAAATCGTTCAGCCTGTTCAATAGTAACATAGATATAAACGGAATTGTGCTTCTTTCCAAATCGTTGTACGATAATGGTTATGCAAAGGTGGGTCCTAAGCAGAAGCTATGCGAAGGTTGCGACGTTCACCAATGTGCGACGTTCACCAATGTGCGACATTTACCAATGTGCGATATTCACCAATGTGCGACGTTCGCCAACGTGTGATGTGCCCCTGTTTGTGCCAAATGAGCGGAGGCGCTGCTAATTCGAATTCTCCCTAAGTGATATTCATCCCGCCGCCACACGACCGCTCAACCGGTAATAGCATGCCAAAAAGATATAACCCCTTTGTGAACGTTTTTTTAAAGCTAGAAAATCTATCCATAGATTGCATTAACTTAAAATGCCACTGCCTCAAGTACCTGTCCCTGTCTCTTTGCAACTATAACAGTTTAAAAACGCTCAGCTTTCAAGTAATTTTAAAATACTCAAATGTGTGTAGGCGTGAACCCACACATAGGAACTAAGATGTGCAACTCCACAAGTCGCATTTCCCCTAATATTATTTGACTTCGCTTTTTTTTTTTTTTTTTTTTTACTTTCCCTTACAGTACTGCAACATGGGCAACGACTGCATCAAATATATCATAGACATAGTCATATACTTGAACTCTTCTCTAACTACTTTGAATTTAAGTGGGAATAAGTTTAACGCACAAGGGATGAACGCCGTAAGGAGAATGAACCTTTCTCTCAGTTTAGCTGTGAAGTCTACTTCCCAAGCAAAGTGTACCTCCGCTTCCTCCAATTTGGTTTATGCATTCAACCACCCCCCATATTTCCACTCCTCTACCTCTTAGCTTTTCGAAAGCTTTTTGCTAAACAACTCCCTAGGCACCATAGACGTTTCTTACAACATGTTCGATTTAGATGACTCCTTTGTGGAAACGTTTTGCAAAATTATAGTCAGCCGAACGGTAGGGGAGA